TTTAAAGAATCAAAGCTTAAACGTGGTTACTGCATACAGTCATCACGTTTAAGTTTTTTCTTTAAAAAAATAAAATACAAATTCGACGCTAAGTTACGGTAATCTAATACGCTTTGTGTTTTAATTGTTTAAATAACAATTAACATGTCATTAACACAAAATTGTTTAAATAACAATTAACATGTCATTAACACAAAATTAGAAAGATTTTAATTTTGGTTTTATAATAAAATGTATTTTATATTATTATTTGTTTTTTTTTAATTTTATATTATCATAAAATAAATTTTTTAAATTATATATAAAAAAATTTTCTAAAAAAATATTTGCTTGAAAAATGAGAAATTTTTTAGATTATCTTATTTTAACTTAGGCTGAACTCCAATTGCATTTAACTACATATTTTTTATAATTACAAAAAACTGAAATATAATGTTAGCTACCCAGTGGGCATTTCGACGTCGAACGAACGTCGAGCGACGTCGGATCTCGACGTCGGATCGACGTTGGGTTTACGTTGGAAATGGAAATGTTATTTGACGTCGGGTAAACTGACATCGCGCGACGTCGGCATTCCGATGTAAATCCAACGTGTTTTTTGAAAACTAAAAAACGTTGCCTTCGGCAGGAATCGAATCTTGGTCTATTAAACACAAAATCCTACGCGCTTACCACTACACCACAGGAATATATTATTTAATGTGTTTATTTAGTAATTTATACTTGTAGCTATTTGGGAATTATTACTTTGATAAGAAATAATTTTGTTTAAATATTATATAAATATTAAAACGAATAGTTATATATTATAAAAAATGTATACTCGAAAATGTTAATAGTTAAAAAACTATGCTAGTGCATCATACAAAACCTCATGATGTTTTATCAACCATTATTCAAACTTCTTTCCATTAATAAAAAACACGCTTAGTTCACATATTTATTGTAGAGCGCAATTGCACACATATTGTTGGGTTTGGATTAAATTTTCATCAGCGATGTCTTACGACGTTGTTCCGACGTTGTTTTAAGGACGTTAAATTGACGTCGGAAGACGTCAAAAGACATCGGAGTACGTTAATATTATGACGTTGCCCGACGTCTTTTTATCAACGTTGGATCGATGTCAGTACTGCGACGTTTTTTGGACGTCTTTTATAAGATGTCGGAACAACGTCAAAATACATCGAAACGACGTCAGGGGATGTTAAAATAAAGACATCGCCCGACGTCATTTTACTGACATCGGAACAACGTCGGAATAGGTCTTTTGACATCGCTGATGAAAATCGTACGTAAATCCGACGTCGGATTGACGTCGGGTGCCCACTGGGTAAGAAATAATAATATTTTAAATAATAAAATCTCCAACTTTATTAAATATTTCTGAGACTCTCTTGTTGGGAAGCACTGGCTTTTTATAAGACAGTATTTATCATTATTATTATTCTTTTTTTAATTTTTTTTTAGTGTGCCTTACCTTACGGTCTTATCACAGAGAATTTAATAGAAAATTCAGCCTCCTTCAAGACAAATGTGGCCAAACTTGCACAGAGGTAGAGTTTAAACCACGGACTCTTTGTTTCTGAGGCAAATGCGCTACCACTGCGCTATGACTGCTCTTTATTACGTTCTGAATGTCTTTATAAAGTTATTGTCGTAAGGAGGGGGGCCCCAAAATAATTTTGTACCAGTACATTTTTATCCTCTCCAAGCCCTGGACTTTTATAAAGTGTATACGCTTGGCTCAATAAAAACACAAAATTTAAGTTTTTTTTGTATGTTATTGTTATTTTATTAAAAATTTCATATTTTAATTATAGAAATAACAACCATGTTTATAGTATTGTCTCTGCAAAATTGATACATATAAACAATAAACAGTTATTATTAATTTGTATTTTTGTGTGTTTTGCTTGTACGTTTTGAGTTATATTGAGGCCTACGACCTTCAGGCATGGCAGTGGCCGAGGGAAATCCTCTCAACCTCCTTGACCAGTTCGACCCAACGTGAAACCATGGCAACATCACTATAGACTGCAATGTTAAAACCACGACGATTAACACGAACTTTGTTCAGTTTTTGTCGATGAATCACCTATACTAATATTTGAGGAAAGAATGACATCAATTTGTTAAGTCGCTGAAACTCCATTTCCACAAAAAAAAATTTCAACAATTTAATATTTAAAGTTATATATTATTAGATAATATTTATAAATTAGTTTGGATAAGAAAGAAATGGCGGGCTTTTTCCTAAAAAAGTTTATACTGCATTATTTAAAGCAATATAAATGTTATTTATACATTTTTTAGTTTTAAAATAGATTAAAAAGAGGTTTGTCATGATTTCAGTAACATTACATAATAATGTTTTTGATGATTTATTTCTGTGATATGTCTTTAAAGAGGAAGTTGTCAGGTGCGGAAGGAAAACGTCTTAGGGGTCGTCCATAAATTACGTCACGCTTAAGGAGGAGAGGGGTAGGCGATTTTGTGACGCAACATTTTTTTTTTTTTAGATAAGACTTTCTTTTAATTAAATAAGTATTTGACCAAACCAAAATCTCAGTTAATATATCTACATGTTGATTGTAAAATCAACTATGTCTAAATCTTACTTAGTCGATGTGCACACTCCGTTTACGGAGTATTTACAGTCTGTAACTACTCCTCTTGCTGACAGTATATCTCTTGTTGACAATATATCTCTTGCTTACAGTATATCTCTTGCTGACAGTATATTTTTTGTTGACAGTATACCTTTTGTTAACAGCATGTCTCTTGCTGACAGTATATCTCTTGTTGACAGTAGATTTCTCGCTGACAGTATATCTCTTGTTCACATGATATCTCTTGAAAACATTTTATTTAAAGGTCAATTTTTCACTTCATGCCATAAAAAATATTTGAAATAATAAATTACCAAATCATCCGTATAATTAGGAGAACAACGAATAATCACTAGCATTTCATATTTACGGCCAAAAGTACCGATTTTTACCTTTTAAAACCTTTTACGAAGGGTTCAATGGTATGGTAATCTCATTCAAGTTCATTCAAGTTTACAACAAGAAAAAAATTTTTAAAATTTGATAAACGTTTTTGATCTGAATAATTGTTTTTAAATCTGTTTTTGTTTTATTTTTATTCTTTGTATGTTGCCTAAAAAATATATCAACGCATTATGCATTTTATTACAATATTTTATTGAAATTTTATTACCAATATTATAATATAATACGGTATTCATTTGAAATTTTGTAAAAGGAGCTCTATTAAAACATAAATATGACGTAAATATCCTCGTCTTTTTTGAGCTCCTGTATTTTTTAATTATATTTTTATTTTATATTATGAAGTAAAAGTAAAAGTTTTATCTCATGTTAAAACGGAGAAGGAAAAAAACATCAACGAGAAATTAGGTGAAAAACAGGAATTTGCACTTATAAGTAACTTACTATTCAATTTATGTTATCGTATTTATAATATTTAAGCGATTTGCATCTCATGTAAAACTTAACCATTCATAAAACCGTAGATACACAGATTACTAATATAAACGTATGAATCTTCGATTGTTTAAACTTTACTATCATTTTTTACTTGAAATGAGTTACTATAAAAGCAATACAGTTACTCTTCATAGCCGTCACGCCCTTCTTTAAATAGGTTGATTACGTCCATAAAGTCCGTATTTTTTCATTAATTCAATTAAAAAAAAAAAAGATTATTAGATCTAAATTTTCTTTATTTCTGATAACAAAAACTCTGCCTTAATGCCACAGATCAATGAAAACTTGTTAATATATTTTAAAAATCATTTACTAAAAGACATTACTTAAATTTTTATATTAAATTAGCAAAAAATTAATAACCAATAATTAATAATGATTAATAACTCATTTAAACTATTTTTAAAAACACTATAATTTGACATTTTCAGTTGGAAAAAAAAGTAAAGAGTATAATTAAGTGTGCAAATAATTACACAAAAGCTTTCTAATGATGAGAAAATTATTTATAATAAAGAAGTGATTGTTAAAAAGCTCAAAAACTATTTCCTCATAATGGCACTGTGGACCAGCCGTTAGCGAAACACAAAAAATAAATGTTTTAAAATCAGATTTCTTGCATTCTAAGATCACATTTCATATTTTTTGCTTTTCTATGAGAACAAACAAAATAAAAGCTACAACAGTAAAATGATATCGGTAAATTTTGTAAATAAGTTTGATAAATTTTTAAATGATATTTTTTTATCATAATATTATGCAACATACAGATTACTAAAGCTTTTAAAATTAGTAACAATTAAAAAACACATCAATAAAATTTGGAGTTGACTTCCAGCTAAAAACATTGCAAAACGATTTAACGATTCAACAATTGCCGTGGCTGAAAATAAATCTATTTTCAACGCCGTATATAAAAGTATACCTATTCCAAATGTAGAAAATAAAAAATGGGAAATAAAATAAAGTGCACAAGCAATTTTTTATTGCAACATTATTTTGAAAATGGACTCAAAAATTCAAAAAAACAAAAAAAAAAAAAACAGAAAAAAAAAAAGAAAACAAACAATTTTGCTTTTTTTTGAAAACAGCCAATGATTCAACAGTTCGTTGAATCATTGAAGTCAAAGATTAAAAAAAGTATTACAGGGCGTTTCTTCACAATAAGCTTCCAGTGATAACAAAGTAGAAATTTAATAGGTAGACACTTAAACATTATTGCTTTTTGTGAAAGATAAACAAATAAATTTTTTTGAAAGAAATGTATGTATAAACTTCTTCTACAGTCTGTTTCATCTGCTGTGGATTCATCAGATTCCTGATGGCACTAATTTAACTTATATATTTATTTGATTACTTCGTGTTTATTATTTTAAGTCTGTATTTTAAATCATCTCTATCAGTTGTTTTATTTATACAGTTGTTATCGATGAAGTGAAATTATGTTTGATAAGGGCGTAAACATGGAGCAAAATAAGAAAACAATTTTATTTTACATGTTTTGTTCAAAAAATATCTTATACTGTTTACTTGTTTATCTTAACGGTAATGAAAAAGTTTAAAAAACAATTACAGTTACTAAAATGTTTATTTAAACTTCTTGTTCTCTAATACAAAAGCTCCATAGTAAAAAGGTTTCTTTAAAAAAAAAAAAAAAAACACTCCAGAAAAAAAAAAGTACACTATCAGAAAAAAATTAACTCTAAACTGATTTTTTTAAAGACTTAAAACAAATCATTGAATGATTTTAAACACTCAAAATAAAACTTCTCTTATCAAATAAATAAAAATGTTCATTAGTATGATCAAAGAATAAAAAAAGTATTATTTCATCAATTTTTTTACATACTTCAGACAAGATGTTATCCAATATTTTGTGTTTACAGTATCCGGGTGCAGTTTACCTAAAAGTTCAGATTGTACTTTTTCTACTTCTGTAAATAACGTGTATGCATCTTTAAATTGTTTTAAATTATATAAGCAATTAGCTATCCAATATTTAGTATTTATCGTATCTAGATGTTTCTCACCTAAAATTTCTTTTTGAAAAGCTTCAACATTTGAAAATAGTTTAAATGCATCTTCAAATTTTTCTTTTTGAAAAGAGCAAATGGCAATCCAATACTTAGAATTTAGTGTTTCTTTACTGTTATTTCCTAAAACTGCTTGTTGCACATTTTCTACCTCCATAAATAACTTTTTTGCTTCATCATATTGCTTTTTACTATATAAGCATCTAGCAATCCAGTATTTAGTACTTAGTGTACTTTCGTGTTTTTCTCCTAAAAAGTTTGTTTGCATAATTTCGATTTTTCTAAATATTTGTTCAGCGTTATCGAACTGATTTTTACCATGTAAGCATACCGCAATCCAGTAAGTAGCAATAATTGTTTCATGATATTTTTTACCAAAAGTTATTTTATACATTTGTTCCGCTTCTTTAAATAATTCCACTGCTTTATCAAAGTTCGCTTTTTCATGAAAACTTATCGCATCATTCATGGTTTTTTTAACTTTCTCTTTAATTTTCTCAATCCGTATTTTCACTTTGTTACTTTCTATTTGCTCAATTAAGTTCGTATACTTTTTTGAAAAGTAATTTTCTGCTAAAATTTCTTTGCTGTTATCATCACTCTGTAGGTACCAAACCTCTGTAGGTTGGAACCATTTGCTTATCACATCCAATGGTAATTTTGAAATGTCGTTTAACAATAATTGAGATTCAAAAAAACATTCGACAAATAATTTTCTATTTTGAAGTTCTGAAAATTAAAATTAGGAATAAATTAAATTATAAAATTCATCATCATAGAAATATACATTATCATGGAAATATACATTATCGTGGAAATATACATTATCATTGGAATATGGTAACAGTTCGGCTGAAAAGTTCGTATCGTTTAATAGAAAAACACATTTTTTTTTCAAAATTCGGTTTAATTATTCAACATAGTTTCCATCAGAGGCGATACAGCAATTATAGCGATCTTCCAACTTTTCGATACCATTTTTGTAGTACGATTTGTCCTTCGCTTCGAAATAGGCTTCAGTTTCAGCGATCACCTCTTCATTGCTCTTAAATTTTTTACCAGCGAGCATTCTCTTGAGATCTGAGAACAAGAAAAAGTCACTGGGGGCTAAATCTGGAGAATACGGTGGATGAGGAAGCAATTCGAAGCCCAATTCGTTCAATTTAAGCATCGTATTCATTGACTTGTGACACGGTGCGTTGTCTAGATGAAACAGAACTTTTTTCTTCTTCAAATGAGGTCGTTTTTTTGCAATTTCATCCGTCAAACGCTCCAATAACGCAATGTAATAGTCACTATTGATGGTTTTTCCCTTCTCAAGGTAATCGATGAAAATTATACCATGCTTATCCCAAAAAACAGAGGCCATAACCTTCCCAGCCGATTGTTGAGTCTTTCCACGCTTTAGAGTCGGTTCATCGCGTGCAGTCCACTCAGCTGACTGTCGATTGGACTCCGGAGTGTGGTGATGGAGCCATGTTTCATCCATTGTTATGTATCGACAAAAAAAATCGGTTCTATTTCGATGTAACAGCTCCAAACACTGCTCAGAATCATCAATTCGTTGTTGCTTTTGATCGATTGTGAGTTCACGCGGCACCCATTTTGCACAGAGCTTTCTCATATCCAAATATTCATGAATAATATGTCCAACGCGTTCCTTTGATATCTTTAAGGCGTCAGCTATCTCCAACAACTTCACTTTACGATCATTCAAAATTATTTTGTGGATTTTTTTTCACATTTTCATCGGTAACAGCCTCTTTTGGGCGTCCACTGCGTACATCGTCTTCGGTGCTCATATGACCAGTACGGAATTTTGCAAACCACTTACGAATTGTTGCTTCGCCTGGTGCAGAGTCTGGATAACACTCATCAAGCCAATTTTTGGTATCGGCAGCACTTTTTTTCATTAAAAAGTAATGTCACATCAACACACAAAATTTTTTTTTCCATTTTTTTCACAATAACAAAAGTAGCGTCACTACTAGAGCAATATATCGCAAACTAATAATCTGACAGCTGTCAAACTTTTACACGTATCTTTTCAAGGTTGGTACTAACTAAAAATGGTATGAATTTAATTCTAGTGGCGCCATTTTTTAGAAACGATACGAACTTTTCAGCCCAACTGTTAGATTAGCGTAATATATATTAATATATATATGTACCTATGGCAAAAATTGGAGTATTTTAAAGAATAATTAAGCTGAATCCAAAAATTTTGTGAACAAACAATCGCTACTCATGACCCACTTAAATAATTTTACATCTAAAATTTTTTCTTAAAAACAGAGGTTTTAAATAAAGGTTTTAAAAAAGTATCAAATGTTACCATATTTCCCAAATCACTTAATAATATGAACAATTTATTTTAGTTTAAAAAAATAACATTAATTAAGTAAAGAAATACCTGGAATAAAAAATTAATAAAAAAATTAATTCGTCATATTCTCAATTTTATTTTACCTTTAAACAATAACTGCAGAATGATATTTAGTATTATTATAATATTAAAAAATTTTAGTAAGTTTTTAAACAAAAAGCAATCATAATCACGGCAAGGACTTTATTCTTAGTAATTTCTCTAAAAAACAACAGGCAATTTTAACATCCTCAAATTACACGAAAAAGGTATCTTTAAATGAAGCCAAAGATAAATTTTCCAACATAAATTTTTCCAAACAAAAAAGAAACGGATTTCTTGCATACATATTTTTCTTTATTAAAAAGTAAATACCTGTATTTCAACATCAAAATTCGGGCCACAGATTCTTTCATGTATAATAATAATATTTTAACATAACAAAAATCTGAATACGTTTTTATTAGATAAGAGCCGCTTATTACTGTGTATCATTTAAGCATAGTTTACTGCTTCCTGTTATCACCTCTTAAATTCAAAAAATACAAAGCAACTTAAAACTCACATCTTTGGTATGCTTATAATGCCTTATAATTCCCGAAACTTATATTATACTCTATCATAATAATATATATCATCATATACACATAATATATATATATATATATATATATATATATATATATATATATATATATATATATATATATATATATATATTTATATATATATATATTTGTATATATATATATATATATATATATATATATATATATATATATATATATATATATATATATATATATATATATATATATATATATATATATATATGATTATACACTATCATAATAATATATATCATCATATGAAGTTATCATCAAAGGAAGCCAGAGATATTCTTCCTAAAGATGTAAATATCAAAGGAATTCAGAAATGTTTTTAAATAAAATAAAGCTTATTAAAAAGACAGCACAAAAGAAAAAAATTAAAAAAGAATTTATACATAAAGTAAAATGTTCAAATCAGTTTCATTTGCAAATGGTAGTTGTGAAATTTTAGATTTTGAGATTTAGAATGTCATGAAATATTTCTTCGTATTTTATCTTCAAGTCTCTCGATACCTTCTTTAACCTTAGAACTAAACCCTGAGGTACAAATAAAAAAAAATAAAATGTAAACTCGCAACTACTTTTTTATTTTTATTGCGGATCTTTTTGCGCTGCCGCCTAATTCCATAGGGTGGAGGGTTTTGTCAAAGAATCAGTCGGTTGAGATTTCTTTTAGAGGATGTTTAAACTCTAAGTATGTTGTAAGACCACTATACATGCTTAGTTAATGTTATTATATTCATTACTATAAATTTAATCTTTTTATTCAATAAAGCAATTTTTTGTGCTGTTTTTTAGGTGTGTTCTTTCTTTTTGTGCTTTTTTATTTTCATAACTATAACATCGTCTTGAAAAAACAATGTTTTTTTGAGATTTGTTTGTTTCTTTTAAAACTCGTGTGTGTAAAAACCAAGTGCTTAAACTTGGATAATCTTCGGAACTTTTAATGTTGTCGGACTCAATTGTGACTACAGGGGTTCTATGAATAGGTTGTAACGATAAACACTTCGTACTGATAATAAGAGTATTTATTATAAAAAATTTTAAAAGTTTATATTAAGGTGTTTTATGATGTCCCCAATATTTCTATTGTTCAACTCAAATACTGAAATTAAGACCAAAACTAATTATAAAATAAGTGAATGCATATAAAGTACCAACAATATTAAACAGTTGGAAAAACAACTATCGCTGCTTTATTGGAATGGTAAAAATTTTTATAATGACGCAAATAAAATTTACGAAAATATTGTTTTGAAACATATTACTACCAAGCAAACACAAAACTTTCAAAGAACGTTCGAAGAAGGTTGCGAACGTTCAAGCACGTTCTATGAACGTTCATAGAACGTTCTTTAACGTTGCGAACGTTTGTTAACATTTTGTATTTGCTGGGTAGTTATCCAAGGAGCATTTAAACTAAAAGTTTGGATAATGATGTTTGGATAACTAAGGGCTTTAAAAATCATCTAAGATCAAATAAAAGTTTATATAAATTACTTAATAGCAATCGTTTAAATGAAAGTAGTTTACATGAAATACAAAAAAACTTTACACTTGCTTTAAATGAAAACAATTACGTTTTTACTTTAAATGAAAACAGTTAAAAATACAAAAAAAAAGGTTTTGATAAAGAAGTAAAATTTACGAATGATCTTAAGTGGAAACAACAGATTATAACATTCTCGTCAAAAGCAAATTTAAATTCAAAAATTCAAACAAACAAAAAATTAAAAAAAATTTGGCCTATCACAACGAACATATTCTAATGTTACTATACGAAGTATTTGTGCGACCGGATATTGAATTTGCTGCACCTGTTTGGTCTTAAAAAATATAAAAATAGATATTAATATTCTAGAAAAATTGCTATGACGTACAACTAAAATACCTTCTAATTTAAAAAATTTTACGTATAAAGATCTTTTTGCTAAACTTAATTTAACAACTCTGGAGAAAAAAAGACTAAGAGGAGAATTGATTCAAATGTTTAAAATATTTAAAAGAATAGATAATGTTGAGCTTACAAATCTACCGTTGTTTAAAAATTTAAATAGCAGAGGTTACGGGTTTAGATATGAAAGAGAAAATAATAATAGTGGAGTTCGATAGCTTTGAATGCAAAATCTTTAAACGATTTCAATAACACTTATGATAGACTTTAAAAGTAAAAATTTGAACGAATTAAAACGTATTAAAGAAAACTTCCATTAAAACATGAAAAGGCTGACAAAGTGTTGAAATCACGCATGCTGATGTTCGGCGACAGCATTAAATTATTATTATATTATATTATAAATGAAAAATTATAAAAGCTTAAAAAAAGAATACTTTTTTGGTTTTCAAAATTAATTGAAAACTAAAAAAGAAAATGAAAAGAACGACTCAAAAAGCACAACTCTAAACACACTAGGAAAATATAAGGAGAAATTGGTGGAAAACAAAATATTTGCTCAATAGGCCTACCGCAGGAAAATTGATTGGATAACAAAGATGTTTTTGAACCTAGATTAATAGCTAATGAGTTCAACAAATTGTTCATTGACATCGTTTCCAAACTGGAAAATAAAATTCCTAATACCAAGTTGTGTTTAATAACTTTTTGATACCGATGACAGGCGTGGATCTAGGGTATAGTCGTTGTGGCTAAGGCTACACCTTAAAATAATCAACGAAATTTTTTTTTTTTTTTTTTTTTTAAATTTTAATTCACCTCCTCAAGGCCGAGAAGGCCACTACAGACGAGGAGGCTA